TTTTGTTTATGGGTACTTATGCACAAATATAGGTAAATATGTATGTAGGTTTTCATGTACATTAGGGTGGTAAAAAAAAAATATTAAATTAAGTCGGAATTTTAATGCTCTCACTCGCTACTCATATTTTTGAAGTGAAACTTCTTTAGGGGCGGTTAGTTGGTTGGAAGTAAATTGTCAAATTCAAGGGAAATTCCACACGCTGAAATGATGCAACGGAAATGGTTGGGGCGGAAACAAGTGCTTCTTGAGTGTGTGCTCATGGTATTAATTTAACAAAAACTTGCTAATAAAAGGTTAAAGAATAACACTTAGAAAAAGACCAATACAAGGATGAAAGTAAAGGTGAGCATGTAAAGCAAAGTAAAGATGAAGATAGAGAAAGAAAGTTTAAAATAAAGGTAATTATAGAGAAAAGGATATACATAGATAGAGACACAGATACTCAATCTAGGAACTATTTTGGGATTTGAGAGATTTTCGGGTTTCTGCGAACTTATCGATATAATAATCGATATTTTTATCTGTGTTGCTATCAATATTTTTATCGATTTTGTTATCGAAATGTTTATCGATATTGTTATCCATATTTTCGGAACTTATCGATATAATAATCGATATTTTTATCGATTTAGTTATCGATATTGTTATTCGTTTTGTTATCGATATTGTTATCTATTTCATTATCCATTTTTTTTATCGATTTTGTTATCGATATTTTTGTCGATTTTGTTATCGATATTGTTATCGATTTTGTTACCATTTTTTAATCCATTTTGTTATAGATTTTTTATCGATTATTTCTCGATATTATTATCGATTTTGTTATCGATATTTTTATCAATTTTCGTATCGATTATCTATCGATATTTTTATCGATAAACAACTGGGTATTGTTATTGGAGGTCGCGTGAGTAGAACCAGAGTTTTCCGATCGAAAAATATTGATTTTCAAAAATTCTATGCCATTTATACGAAAAATAGTTTTCTTCTCCATATAAAGATTTGCCACGAACACCTTTGAGCGCTTTGAGCGACCTAAATATTTTTTGATTTAAAAATAAACAAGTAATTTTTAGCAAAGAAAACCGACTTCAATTCTCATATAAAAATATATATATACATATATATATGTACTTCATGATCCAAAGTTATGCAGTACACAAAAATAAAAAAAAAATGATTCCGACGAACAGATAACCTCCTCCTTTTTTGGAAGTCGGTTAAAAATAGGCGTATATTTTTTTCGGTATAGAACAATCCTAGGGATGAGAGCATAAAAATTCCGACTTTACTTTTTCACATGCATTTTTGGACCCCCCCTAATGCAATGCATTTCCCTGCTGAATTTCCCTGATACGCTAATTTCCACATACATACATATGTACATATGTACGTACGTCTTCTCGTTCTGCATTCGCTATGCCTTATCACCACATTTCGTAACTTGTTGCCTGCTTATAAATACATAGTTTTATACTAAAATACAATTATGCCTCCATACAATGGGTATTAGTTAAAATTTTTAAAACCATTTGTGCATTTTGCTTTTAAATTTTTTTACGAAGAAAACATATTTGCTTGGATATTTCAGCGAGTACGATTATAAGATAAAACATTTGTGATAATATATGTTAATGTCTTAGTGGGCGAACTTATTTGTTAATATGTACATTAGGGTGCATCACTCTGCATACAAATAAATAGATTTTTTTTAAATAAAATTAGACTAAAAAATATGTATTCCAAAAAATCACTTCAGCTTAAAAGGTCTGCCTACAAATGTTTACAATCTGAGATTTTTGGAGATTCATAGTTTTAAAATACTGTTACTCCAACATAGCTTAGGTTAAAAGTTAACAGCCTGTAGTAAAATTTCATTGCTGCTCGATTTACTTACATATGTATGCAGGCAGAGAGAGAGAGAGAGTAGGTACTCATGTATTTACTATTAGCGCACTCACCATATTTTGGCAGCAATTTTGCCACATGCAGCGATTGTTGAGCTCTTTATTTTCTTTTTACTTGCCTACATTTGTATATTTTTTATGCATAGTTGTTTGCATAGGTACATATATATGTACATACATTCACATTTGTTAGCAGAAGTACATTATTTAGTACTTTTGGACTTGAGATTTTTTACGATCCCATGTGCTATTCCACTGTTTGGGCTTTGCTTGTGCGTGACTTTGTTATTTTTGTTACAGGCTATTGATGAGAACTTAATTTTTGTGGCATGTTTTGGATCTGGAATGATTTGCAGAAAAAGTTCTGCCGTGGGGCTTAGAACCCTCATGTGTGTAATAGATAAATTTCTTGGAAACGTGTAGCCGAATGAGCATTCGATTTACTTCGACATGGACATTAGAAAAGGCAACTTCACCAGCGTCAGATAAAAGTATGGAGTCGCAAGTAAAGAAATAGCTCTCTCTGAAACCTCGTTTTATAAAGTGATTTTGTTCAACGTCTGTCAATCCCTTTCTCGGGAATACCCTCAATCTCGCGAGCGTTTTTAAAATTTTGTGAATACGTGAAAGTGGATTTTAACCTTTCACGTTTAACGTTCGATAGGACTCTGTAGGCTGTGTTCAGGAAGCTGATCCCATTATATATTAGTTGACGCATCCTTTTTGTGGTCTGCGTACTCTTTAATTCTGGACGGCAGGCATTTCGAAAGTTTCTTCCATTCGTGCAGCACCGCAAACTCCTATATGCTATCCTTGTCTTGTCCCGTTCATCGCTGTCCTTGGATGGCGTTGATGTCAGCCTTACTCTGACACGGTTGACCACATATCGCGCATAGTAGCCAGAAAACCAATTGCTTATATACACCATGGCATGTCCTGTTTTAGGACATTAAAAATGGTCTATGGCGTGGAGAGAGTATATCGATAGTTCTTCTCTAAGGAACTTGGGTATTTTCGAACTAATTTGAGTTTAAATTTCCTACTTATTTCAGAGGTCCTCTAACTTTATATTTTAACGCTTTCTCTGTTGGTCCACCTGGAGCTTCTTTCTCCTACCTGCGCCCACCAAGCAGATCCGTGGACGTAGTATTATATATCTATATATATATTTTTGTTTGCTTATTTACGTGTTTGCATTTTCTAAGTGCGCACTCTCTCTTCTCCATCGGCCCTCTCTGACAATCTATGGAAAATTTAGCTCTCAAATCGTAAAAGAGCCAATAGAGCAACGGCAGCTAAAATAACCCTCAAAAGAGTGCATGTTTATAGGTAGTCCATTGAGGTATGTATGAGGGATTGACATATTTTTGTTCTTGTCTGCAATGCCACCTAAGTCGAATAGGGTATTTTGCTGGATATTTGTGTGTAGAAATGTATGTATGTATTTGTATTTGCCTGCAGGCAACCGTTGCAGCCAAATGCGTGCATTTAGTTAGCAAATACATACAGCTTTGTTTATCTGACAAATGCAAGAACAACAATAGCAAATGCTGTATCGAAAACATAGAAGCTGTACCAGCAGCATTAAGCACAAGTGTGTTTGTAAGGTAGGTAGTTATTTATGTAGGTAGGTAGATTTGTGCGCCTAATATGTCCATTGGCGTGATGGCGTGTTTTCCGCTGTTGCAGCGACGTCAACTGCTCAGTTGGCTGCGGCAGTGGAGCCAAGTTTTTTCGGCCACGCTTTGTAGGCACACAATACTGCTCTGGCAAACATACCACACTGAACAGTCGCCTATTATACCCAACTGGGTTTATTGTTGCTGGGTGCTCTCAGGCGTTGACTTTACTGCATGGCAAAATAAAACGTCGACGTAGACGTGAGCGTAACTTTTGACTGCACTCATTTGGTATTTATATTTGTATTTTTATGGCTGTTAAATTTTCTCAACGACTACTTTTTATAATGCAGCCCTGCTTTTTATTCTTGCTCTGTTGGCTTATTGCCTTTAGTAGCTGCTCTCCACTCAACTTTGTTGTGTTGTGCCCTGGGTTGCCACTGACTAAAAAAAATATTTACCAGCCGCTTGTACAAAATTTACCAAATCTGAAAAACAGTTACCAATTACTATTTTTAGCTATTTTAACAAAACCTATAGTTTCGTTCTATTTCATAGAAATTAAATTTTTTAAGGAACTTTTTATTTAACTATTGATATGGTATTTGAGATCTATTAGTGTCATCTTCTCGGTTTCCTTCAACTAAAAGCGAAAGCAATGAAACAAAGGCAACAACGAAACTTCATTATTTGAAAAAAAAACTTCAACTGGATTTATTATAGACAAATTGGTACAGTGACTCAAAAACACCTTGGTGATTTTTTTATTCACAATGTTGTTCAAGTAATTTTTTTGTTATTTGTATAAGAATATTGTTTGTGACTCAAACCCATAAAAATCAAGGATTCAAGCTATATACAATATTTAGAAAAATTACAAAAATTTTCGTCTAAATTTGTATAACAATATTGTTTGCGATTTAACCAAACCCATAAAAATCAAACATTCAAGCTATATATACCTTTAGAAAAATTACAAAAATTTTCGTCAAAATTTCGAGTTTTTTAAACTGATTTTTTTAGTATGCAGCTTTATAGTCGATGGAAATTTAGTATAACAAACAGTGCCGAAAGAAATTTATAATAACAAAGATAACTACGAGAAATAAAGCGGGAACGAAAAGTTTTTTGTGTTTTCAACCAAAATATTTTAACAAAATGAACCAAATTTTTTCTACCAATTGTGGCAACCCTGGTAGTGCCATATATTGGGGCTACTGTTGGCGCTCATTTTTTGGGCACTCTCGCTGCTGTCGACGCATACAGCCTGGTTGCCAACTGGCGAGCCAGCCGCCAACAGGCAAACGACTGACTGCAGACACGACAGCGTTCAATGTTTGAATTCAGTTCAGTTCCGGACGTTAAACGCGACTGTGGGGATTTTTAGTACGCGGAGATACAAAATACTCGCATTTTGTTGTTTCTTTCTTTTACAAAGTGTGTGAAGAAAGAAAAGAGTAAAAAGTAATAAAATTTACACGTTTGTTTTATGTGTAATTGGAGACTGCTTATTTGGGTTTTTGTTGGTGCATATTGTTTTTCCTAGTGGCGAAGACAAAAAATTAGCCAAGGATAAACTTCGATTACCGAAATGTTTTTTAAGCAAACAAATTTATATTGAAGTGACACAGAGTGAATATAAAGTGTTTGGAAAAAGTTTTAAGTAAAATAATGAATTGTTGTATAAATAAAAAATTTGTTGAAAAATTTTAAATTTTGTGAACTTCGAGTGAATTGAAATTTTTGCTGACAAAAAAAGCCTTCAAAAATGTGTTTTACTTTCAAAGGGAAAAATAAATGAAGACGAATTAAATTTTCTTCGCCCCCTTTAGCACACCTTATTTATTAAATTTATTTAAATAATTTTTAATTTTTTTTTATTGCTTGAATGTGCTTACAAACGTCTGCGGTAACAAGACGCACAAATTTGCACGTATACCCAGCTCCATACCTGTGTGTATGCAAACAACACAAACGCAACCGAAATTTTGCCTATATCCTTGCCTCACTTTCTACGAAAATTTCCAACATTTATTCATTCAAATGCAATCAGCAGTCGTGGTATATGTCTGCTTGTAGGTAGAAGTTAGGCAGACAGCTCAAAAAAGAAGCTAAAGCGTAATGCTGTAGGCAACAAAGTCGTATTGTGATCGGTATTGTTGTTGTTGTACTCACTGCGCATCCTTTTTGTGCATCCTTCGCTCGTTAAGTAACTGACAAAAGTTGTAGATACACAAAATTTGCTGGTGCAGTTGTGGTTGTTTTTGGCATGAAAATACATAAATATGTAAATACGAAAACGCATTGAGGTGCTAAAGGAAAGAGGAGGCAAAATTGAAAATACAAATTTTTAATTATCGACCTCCCAGGCTCTTTCACGGAAAAAAGAGCTTCTCGCCAAAAAAAAATTGGTATACCAACTCCATCAGGTTCGCTCGCCTCCTCCTACCTTTCGCTTCCCCTACAGACTCTGGAAAACCCGAATTTGTAACTCGCTGTGCAACTTCATAAAAAAGCAACAACGAAACCATCCAGCAGCCTTTTAGAATGAGCGCAAGCGAGAAAGCGCACAGAATGGCAGAGACAGCGCGGAACCAAAGTTTGGGCAAAAAGAGAGTTGTGCAATGAAGTTTGAAAAAAAAAAACAAAAAAAAAATGTAGGTATGACGAAAAGTTGTTGTATGCAGAAATGCATACAATAAACTTACAAAGCATCCCTACAATGCAAGCATCACACAGACGCACAGAAAAGTACGAAGGATACACAACTTGTGAAGCAAAATTGTAGAGTCTGGGATGTTTTAGTTAAAATCATAACAATCAAGTTACTTTTTATGCATCACACGACTCCAGAAAAGTAGCTAAGAGAAGTCTGTGTTGACTTTCAAACGAAAACAAAAAACAAAAAAAAAGAAGAAAATAGCAAAAGGACATTCATCTCAGTTACGCGCGCGCTCTCTTTCTGTAATCCAATTGCTGTCGCTGGCCTCTTACATATTTATTTTACCTTTTTTTATGCATTATTGTTGTAGCAGCACTTCAGTTTGCTTTTGCCGGCATTTTTGTTATACTTTTCACACGCCAACAACTCCGTTTTACTACATTTTATATCAATTTCTTTCTCTTATAGTCCATAAGTATACCTGCCAAGTGAATTCAGTGCAGCGATCATAGTGAATTTCATACGTTTTTTAAACAAAAAAAGTGCAGTCCACATTTTTCGCAAACAAAAAAAGAATACAAAATTAAATATTCAAAGTTACAAATTGAAATCGGAGTTAATTTTTTGCTCAAGTGTTTGTTATTGAAACACAGTGAAAAAATAAACAGACCCAAGGGATTAAAACTAACATTTGGATATACAAAAATCTATTTGGCGAAAGCTACGAAGGATAGAAAGCTTCCACTTGAAAATAAAAGGTAAGTGAAAGTGGCTTAGTGAATTTAAGTATTTAGGATTAGAAAGCAGATAAAGGGAAGTTAAAACCACTTTTTAATGACTAACTAAAATCAGAATTTAGATTGAATTGGACTTTAACTACGAATAATCGGATCTCTTAAAAGGCGTCTTAGAATTAAAGCAGCCGGTTTTAGATTTCAGAAATCCATTGATAATTGATGTTTCATCTCTTCCATATAAAGAGCAAACTTAAGAAACCTTCGCTTATGTAACTATAACAAGTTTCTTAAAACATATTTCCAATTAATCTAGTTCACCCTGTTTGTCGGTATTTTAGCTAAAGCTTGCTTTGGAACGTGTTTATCAACCGTATGAAACACTCTGTTTTAATATTTAAAATTTAATTTCAATTCCCAAAACCCAATTTCAAGATTTAAGACCTAATTTTAACACTTAAGACTTAATTTTTAAATTTCAAAAACTAAGTTTAATATTTAGAACCTAATTTGCATAACTAAAACCTAATTTTAATATTTAAGAGCTAATTTTAATTTTTTAACCCACTTTAACCGTGACAGCCAAACTTCAGCATTTAAAATCTTATTTTTATATTTAACACTTGATATTATTATTTTAGGCATCAAAATATAGATCTCTCAACACATGATTTGGTAACTATAAACAAATAATATAACTAAATATAACAAAATCCTGTGTTGAGAAAATACAAACGAAGACAAGCAATTTGTATATAATTTGACTTGCCAATGTCAAGGTAGCTACATAGAACAAACAGGGAAAAACAAGATATCGTGAACATATAAGGAACTACAAAAAAAAAAAAAAGCTAAAACCATCTACCACACCGGAATCGAACTTCACAACTCCTTTGGCAGAAAACAAATGTAGGCCAATGAAAATAGTCAAGACAGCCAAATTTCTCCATGTATTGCACAAAGGACAACACCATAAAGTTTTAGAGAATATGTAGATATACAAACAAAATAATTTCGTCGGAAATATAATAAGTTAGCAAAAAAACCCGCATCTGATATATTATTCGGACCACTCAGGCTACTATACGCAATAAACAAGGGAACAACTGTCCAAACTACAGAAACCAAAAGGAAGAAAATAACTGATTTTTACCTACAGCTTACTTTGATCTACCTGAAAATGTACGCACTGAACAACAACTACTGGTTGTACTAAAGAATAGAATCCACTGAGACGTACATTACTAAGAATCAACGAAGATTAGGACTACTATAAATAGTGACCGGTTTGTCTCCAAACGAAATTTGACAAGGGATTGCGGAACATCATACTTCTACCCTATCGGAAACACCAACAACGAAAGAAGAAATATATTCCGAGGAGCTAGATATCGCTCAGTAAATGCGACTGCAGAACCACGACATCATATTCTAAGTAAAAGTTCTGGGTACCTTTCAGGCCTGTTGAATACCAAAGGATAACGTTCAGTTACTCGCTTAATTGTCATCTTGTTAGCCTTAGATCTCAGTAGTCAATAAGAGAGTGGAACAATTGAGGACAAGATTTCGGCAACTCGCTGTCTTCGTTCGCAGCTTGAATCGGTTGAATTGGTTCGTAAATACTGGCTCGGAAGAAATGAGAATAATCGTAAAAATGGCTTCCAAAATTGAGGATGTTTTTAGACTTTGTCATCATAAATATTACTACCATGAAAATGGGAACACAAACCAGACCACGTTTTTAACCACTTCGTATAGAAGATGGACTACGATTTACGGATATGTACTTGGAATATCCTGAACCTCTGTGAGGGAGGAGCAATCATCTCAATTGTTATACGAAATGCAAAAGGTTAATGTAGTAACGAAAATCTGAAAGAGCAATTACATAAACTGAAACAAAAGCATGAAACTCCTAAGCTATGTTAAATAAACTATCCATTGATTAACTTGTCAACATATGTACGCAGCCAATGATCCGCTATTGCTCTCAGTCGCAGCGGTAATGACACTCAATAGCGTTTTGCTATTTTCTTCGTCATTCTTTTAATAAATTTTCGCATTATCATAGCATTTATTACACAATAAATTTTACTTTTCCAAACCACGTTTAATGAATTTGCTAAGCAAGTGAGTGAAATAACGACGCTATTGCTACCCCCCCCCCCCCCCCCCTGTTTTTTCACTTTACTACATACAAAATAGCTGAGATAATGAAATCATTACAAGCACATTAAACTTTGGCGCTTTAGCAGGAGGTGATGCTATAAAGTCAGCGCTTGAACTCGTTGCTTCGACAGCGGATTGCGTGAAAATAAGTTGAGATAATAATTTTAGTCGACACAAATTTATATTTTATGCAATGCGAATTTTTTCGTAATGGCAATTTTAACTGTTTGTGGCGCCCTTTGGAACCTAAGTTTTGCTTAAGTATTACAAAGCGCCATAAATTATGAGCGAAATTAACTTTTTTTTAGGAGACATTCCATTTGCAGTGAGTTTAAGTAGGTATACTTTAGCCTCACATAAATCAATTTTACGAAATACTTTTTACCTCCGTGGTAGTTTGCTTACTGTATTTTACTTTCTTATTCTGCTTATTTAGTTTCATTTTTAAAAGCAAATACTTATTTATAGGTTATCCTTCCCATTTATCTTCTTCCTCACACTCTCAAGTAGCACACTGGTGCATAAATTGGTGTAGATTTAGGAATTTCGGTATAAATCTGATTAATTGCACCAAAATTCACAAATTTACACCAAGTTATACACCAGTGTGCTACTTGAGCTATTTGCATACATTTAAAAGGTTGGAGAAGGTTGCGTAAATGGTTTCTTTGGTTTCAAGCTAATCCAGCTTGTTTCTAATCTTGCTGTATCAACGTATTCAACCCAGGTAACATATGCAAATTTGTAGTGGGAACTACTTGCATGACCATTTTGCGGTGTTTTTATTCCCAAAAGTAACCCTCTATGTGTTTTATATAAATATGCGCGTGCAAGATGGGGAGAGGGATATGCGATGAGAAATAAAAATCGAGAATATAAAACTCAAGGAAGCGCTTAGATGGTATAGGTAGACGCTTGTCTTAACACATCAACAACAGAACAGAGTAACCAGAAAAATTATAAGACCTCAAAAGTATTTTAATGGCTTTAAAGGAGGTGGTCCCATACTAATCTGGTTAAGATCCGATCAGCGGATCATGAGATAGATATATATATATTTTTTTTTTATATGAGAGTTGAAGTCGGTTTTTTTTTTGCTAAAAATTACTCGTTGTCTGTATGTTCGTACGCACATCACTCGAAAACTAATAATAATGGAATTGAATGCAGTTTTCACCGATGTACTGCCAGAGGTCTAACTTAAAACATAAGAAGGGAAAAAATTAGAGAGTTGCCACCTGTATGAAAATTGCGGTTTAAGCAAATTGAAAAGATAAAGTAAATATTGCAATATGACTGTCAAAAGAACGAGGTTTAAGAAGTTTTGCAGCTGAAAATATTTTTGTGGAAGGTTGTCATCTATCTAAAAATTTTAATTTAATTTAATTGTTAAGATAAAATTAGCAATATGGGTATGAAACTGAAGAGTGTTGGGAAATTTTACTGCCAAACATGATTTTGAGGAGGGTTGCCACCTGTTTGAAAACCTTTATTCAATTGAATGGGTAAAGTAAATTAAATATTACAATACGGGTATCAAACAACACGAAAATACTTTAAGGCGCGGTGAATACGCCGGTTTTTTACTAGTAAATAAGTAATAAAAAGTCAAAATTTTCCTGGAACTTTTTCTTTATTTCCTAGAACCTACTGACCGAAAGTTTCGAGAAAATTCGTAAAATTGTCCTTAAAATCTCTAAGTGCTTCTGAAAAATTGAGAAGGTACGCGATAAAGACCCGAAAAGTTCTAAAATAGTAATGCTATATACCCAAAAATTCAAGAAAGCTCTCAAAAAAACTTTGTTTAACTACGCCGGACCTAGACGCGCAAGCTGCTTTATCTAACGCTTCAGTCAAAACTTTCTATCAGTCACGCTTGGCTCAAGCAAAAATGGGGTTCCCAGATGGACTATTATGCTTAACTCAATGTATGTACTCTAGATGTTGATCAACACGATTGACCGTCTAGGGCCCCCTTAAAAAAGTGGAACAAAATTGGTAATAGTTTAAAAGCCAAAAGAGCCTGTTGTGATTATAACAATTCGCTCTTTCATTGCTAGACGTAATAAATGTGTGTATACATTAGGGCGTGTAAATTTTTTCTTGACTACGCGCATTTAGGTCGAAGAAACCATGAGTCTAAAATCGATTTGGCATTTACTAAACTGTGAAAATAGGTTTCGCAGAAAATGTGAAAATTTTCACTATTGTGCCCTCTGGTGGAAGTTTTAAGAAAAAGATGAATGCATATATGGATTCCTCATGCCAAAAACCCCCTATAGCATGTTTTTTATAAAAAATTTAAGCACTTCTTTAAGACACTACAGCAAAAAGCTTTTCGAAATTTGGCAACTCCAAATTGATTTTAGACCAATGGTTTGTTCGGCAAATTTGCTAACAATTATACGTAGTATCTTCGCGCGTTGTCAAAAAAATCTCCCATAAAAATTGACCCGCCCTAATATACGTATATATATGATAGTATTACATAGACTCGCTCCCAGCTGACATTACATACTTATATTGCAGGCGTTATCTGAAAAGTCTAGATATATCTTATATATGTTTACGTAATTTAATTTTAACTTGTACAACAATGAACTTGAAACAATTACACAATACATTGCTAGGCATTCATTTAGAAAATGTTCAAGTAATTTTAAACAAATTTTAACACACATTTCTTGCGGTAAAGTTGCAATAAAATTGCATTCAAACACAATTATTTATTATCATATTTTTACAACTCAGCAACTAATATCACAATTAATCGCCGGCATTTAATTGAAGCTAGAATGTATGAAAACAATTGCTGTCATTAGCATCAGAGAATCTATAGATAATTGTTTTTTTTT